TGCTCAGGATCAAGCTGCTGTATGCTACCATGAAATTTCCTCTCCCAGCCAAAGGCATTGTGAAGAAACAGGCAAAAGCTCTCAAGTCCTTTTGCGTTCTGGTCAAGCAGAAGTTGAATCGCCAACAGGTTTGCAGATCCCTGAACTTTCGGAAACTCCTGGCCCTAGTCTATGATCCTGATGAAAAGGAATGGGTTTTGTCATCAAAAACATTTTCTACCAAAATCAAATTTGTTAAATATCAGCTTTAGCTGCCCCATGTTATTCTATATATATTTAAACTTTAGTAGGGTAATATCAATATTGAAAATGAAACCCCTTCAGCTTAGGCTTAAACAATATCCCTGATGGTTTGCCCTGGGAAGGAGACAGTGGCAGCTGAGCTGGATGAGAACTGTGAGGATTGGGAGGATGAAAATGAACCCGTAGAAGTGGAACTTTCTGATTCCGAACCCTCTGATGGCAGTGACATGCCAGCCTGTGAAGATACAATTCCCTATGACCCTGAAGACTTTTGGGACCCTGACAACGAAGGTGATGATGGTGATCTTCCTGAGATTCCCGACTCTCAGAATCGCATTGCTATCAGTGACTCCGACGATGAGGACCTGGGCAGCTCCCATGGAGGTCCCACTCCCCCGGTGGATGATGGGGTTGTGGCTGCATCCAGTTCGGCAGATTCGGGGGGACTTTCTGTGGCCCAAAAAATTCTAGCCATACAGAAGAAGCTATCCCAAGCCAAGAAAGAACTCACTGCAAAGAATCCTGAAAACATTCAGCATTATTTAAACAACTATTTTGTCATGTCTCCCAATGATTTTCTGAAAAATGTGTTTTGTCAATTTAGGGGGCCAACCATATTAAACATTTTGTTTACCTGTATCCCAGCCCTTCACTTAGGAAAGCCAAAGATACTTTGCAACCCTCTTGCCCAAAGAAGATCGACAAGACTATCATCATTGAAGACTCTCTCCCTTTTGGAACTGACAACATGGATACCCAGGTGTGTCCTGACATGGATGATTTGGCCGAACAATTCCACGCTGAAGAAGTTCCCATGCCAGAACCACCGTCTTCCGACTTTGTCGCTCATATTGGTTTTAAAAATTGTCTTATTATTTATTATTTGTTCTGTGATTTGGGGCAAAAATCCACCATATGCTGTCGTTTCTTAACCGGCCCCCGGGCCCTGACTATAAAAAACATTACCAAGCATGTCTGCATGTCTCAGGTACTTCGCCGTCAGCAGCTTGGTTTGAAGAAGCAGGATGGGGATGGAGGGGAGGAGGATGAGAAGCCTCCTTCGGGGAAGGGAAAAGGCAGAGGCAGGGGACGTGGACGGGCAAAAGGCAGAGGGAGAGCAGGATCTGTTGGGAAAAGAGGGAAGCATGTCAAGGAGGATGAAGGTGAAGAAGGCGAGGGGAATCAGGATTCAGAGATGGAGAGGGATGAGAAAGAGTCAGAGGATCAGGAAGACAGCAGCCGAAGCAAGAGCAGGAAGAGAAAGGAGGTGGATGACAAGGACAGGACAGAATCAAAAGGAAGAGCAAAGGCTGCAAAGAGCAAGAAAAGAGAGACTCAAAGTGCAGCAGTTTCTGCAGAGACGAACGCAGTGATGACTGCAGAGAATGGTGAAGATGAAGGCGATGAGGAGGAGGAAGAAATTGCTATCACAGATGATACAGAGACTGGTGCAGAGAAGGCAGAAGAAGAGATTGCAAGCACAAAGAAAGACAAGCCTGCGAGCAAAAGCAGCAGCAAGAAGAATCAGAACTTAGGTGCCAACAATGCCAAGACACCAGAAGAAGATACAACCGCAGCAAAGCGAAAGAAAAAGAACAGCAACCAAGAGAAAGACAAAGAAACCGACATGAATGAAGGAGGAAGCAAATCAAATGATTTCAGGGATGCCGAGGATGAAGAGTCTCATGAAGCAAAACTGCATCATGAAGAGGGCAAGACAACTGCTACATTGCCAGCGGGTGATGTGAGGAAGGCTGACAAGATTCCCAAGAAAGATAAGACCCCGAGAGCTGCAAAGTCAAAAGCTGCACCCACGAAGAATGATGGACCTGAGCAAAAACATGAAGACAGAGTAGCGCAGACAGAAAAAAAGAGATCCACCAGAGTTGAAGAGAACCAGCATGATGCCAAGCCCGAAGGGGTCAGCAAACGAGCCAAGAAGGCAACTGAAGATCAGAACAGGAAAGACATGGCAGGAAGAAAGGAGACCAAAGGAGTGATGATCAATGCAGAATCCGGAGGCAGTCTGGAGGATGAGGAGAAGCCGAAGCCATCGGGAAGCAGAGCGACCAAGAAGCCCGCAGCTAAGGAAACTTGCAAGGATAAAAAAGGAAAACCTGCAGGAGAGACGGCTGAAAAGAAGACAAAGAAGAAAAACAAGATGGCAGAGGAGGAGGAGGAGGAGGCAGGAGATAAGGCAGAAGATGGCGCAAAGGATCCGGCAAAGGGGAAGGGGAAGGTTAGCAAGAAAGAAGAGGGGAAGGCAAAGGGGGAACGAGCTCCGAAGCCCAAGCAGCCCGCTGCCAGTTTCGCCCGGAGGCCATGTCCCAGCAACAATGAATGGAGCAAGCAAAGGTGGCACAGCCTTCGGGAAGCCTTTGAGTTGAAGGTGAAACCCCACCTCAAACACTACTCCAAACATGAGGTGAGGTGTTGAAAACAGTTTTCTCCCACAGGTGTCCCAATATCATGAATTTTCCAACTTCAGGTCAAATATCTTAGAGGTTTTATTACTAAACAAAATGGCTTATAAATATATTTTTTTGACATGCAGCATCCGGTTTGTATTAGGTGATTTGGGCTAAAATTTGGGCACCAAAAAATGCATATCTTTCCTAGAATCATCCCTGTCTCCTGGCCCAGGACAACTTCTGGAAGTTTGCGATTAAGAAGTGGGCTGAAGCGGACATCGCGGTCGAAGATCTTCCCGCTGCTGCCTCCCAGGCAGCCGATGACTACTTTGTGGAGATTGAGAACGGGGCTGACTGATTGTGAAGTCTTGCTGCAGCCACTGACTATTCAGGTCCTTTAAAGGCCTAAACATATGCTACTGTAACTACTGTATGTGTTCTTAAGCCAGGTTATGATTAAACAAAACAGGTGCGAAAATAAAACCCTTGGTATGAACCTTGTGGAAGGTGGCTGCAGCTGTGAAATGTTGCTTTTTCAACAGGCTCTCAAAACTTTTGGGGGATCACCATTGCGATATCTTGACCCATGGTCCTTGAGAAGAAAGGACGGTTGTTTGTGTGCTAGCTGTAGCATATCCGTGGTTGGGGTATTGAAGCCTTCTCTCTCGTGACTTACAGGGACCAGTCAAACGATCATGGAAATATGTTTGACCATTTTCAAGTGTTCAGTTCTTATTTCAAGTCATTATATCGCTTAGGTCTATATAAAGTCCTTCCATTAACGATCATTGTGTTTAGTCAATCCTTGGGATGAGGCTTCAAAAGGGGTCAAGCCACCCTGGTGCACAGACCACACATCCCACTTCCATCTTCTGTGACCAAAAATCGCAGCATAGCTGAGTATGGCGTGTGGAAAAGGGACATGCGTGCACAGATGTGTTTGTGTGTGTGTGGATGTCCGTGTGGTTGGGTCAGCTTGGTTGGCAATCCATCAGTTTTACAGATAACACTGAACCATTTCGAAGCCAGTATTGCGCATGGTTCTATGTTTTATGGTCAAACCAAATACCTTACAGTAAGCTGTTGAGATCTGATCAATACCAAACATATCATCTCAACCCACTAATGGCGTTGGATTGTCAATCCCCGGACATCCTTTGACCACACATATCCTGTCCCATCAAGCCTACTTTGGCCTTTGATCTCCTCCTACTTGCCCAGGTGCCTCATGGCCGATGGAAGGCATGACCGTGGGAGAGCGGGCTTCAATGATGTGAGTCATTCAGGCATGTTTTAGCCTTGCTGGTTCGGATAGCTACCTAGCTGCATTGGACGTCCATTGGCTTTCAAAAACCAAAGAGGGGAATTCCAAATCAAATGGGTTCAGTGTTTGCACACCACTGGCATATATAGTATGGTCGCCCATTTCTTGGCAACTTGCTCAAGCCATCAGGCTGTAACTTTGACTCCAACATAGGACAGAGCTGATTCCATTAGCAATGGCCCTCGATGCGGCTAAATCCGACAAACTGGACTTGGTGCTACGACGGCTCTATCGATTAAATGCCCCCAAGGCCAGTTTCATGAAGTCATCAAGGATCATCATAAATGGTTAACTATATATGTGACTTTGGTGGAGAGGCATCACTCTATTTACCTTATTTTGACATGAAGCATTTGCACTCCATCTGGGTTAAGAAACTTGAAAGCACCCACCAACCGTGCCCGTGCAGTACCTGCTGGGATGCATCGTCATGCTTTGTCTGATGGACGATGTGACCGTATTTACTGAGGACTGGGCCGTCCAGGGTTGGGCCAAGTTGACATATGGTTGTAGCATTGCCTCTGCAACCGGGCGCTCTTGGTGATACCAGCCCCCTAGTAGTGAGGGATCTTGAATTCCAAAGGTGTCACTCACAAGCATATTTCCTGGTATTTAAAGCCTAACTAAGCATCTTGTAGATGTGGTGTAGATTTTACAAGTGCCCCAGAGCTGAGGAAATTTCAGACCCTTTCCCAAAAGTAAAAATGGTAAATGCCCAGTTCTTTTCCAAAAGCCCCTTTGGAATTTCTTATTTGGGACAAAAACAACCTTAGAACCTATACTATATAAGATAATATAATATATATATAGCATATAGCCTATAGCCATCTATGGCCAATAAGCACATTTGAAAATTGGTACATTTATTTAAATATTGGTTGGTGTGTAAATAAAGGGGCCAAATGACTATACATCTCAGAAACACAACACCACCTGTTTACCTTACTTGCCTCTTCCGCCTCCTGGTGGAGGCCTATGGGTTCATAGAGATTTTCGCTGGGGCTGGGTGGACCTCAAGAGTTATGAGAACTCGCGGAGTGCCAACCGCAAGTTTTGACTTGGCCTACACAGACACAGACCTGAAACCTGGCAAGCAAAACAATATGGACTTGTGCACCAGTGCTGGCTTTGCGTATCACAAATTTGCTTAGTCATTTTTAAACCATTCAGGCGTTCATGAATGCATGAACAGTTGGACAAAAGATATCTTTGTTGTCCCTTGTTGTGACGTTCACAAGATTGCACAACAATGGCATTGCACATAAGGTTAGCCCTTCTGACGATACTGAACTGCAAAATGGATGATTTCACAGTTTTGATAGCATTACTGTGTAGCAGCTTTGTGACTGTGTCGGCGGGGACACACCAGCGGGCTCCATGGTTCCCTTTGGGACAATGTTGTGTCCCATTTGTGAAGCTTGGCAATTTGTTGGCCACAAGGTCCCTTGGCTTAAAATGGGGCTATCGATATAATAATGATGGGTTTTCACTTAGTTTTGTATACCATTACTAATGTAACTTACCTGCCTATACCTTGACTTGCCAACCAAGGGTATCTTTGCTCATCTTAGTGATCAGCGCAATGAATGGATGTTGGATATTAGAGCAGCCACGAAGCTCTTTGTTGGCGTGGCATCCCAGGATGCGTTGGCTTTTTCGGCAGCTCCCAAAGGTGCCTCTTGTGAAAATATAAGTCACAATTTAGATCTAACGCTATCTAGGTCAAATATTAAATAAATATTATATATAATCCTAAATTCAGTGATACTAGCAAGTCGCCATTGCCAGGTGTTTGAAGCCTCGTGGTGGATGGCTTTATACGGAAGCATTACTCCGAAGAGACATATAGCTTGGTCAAATTCACCAAAGGTTTCAATCTTGGATATGGGCACGTTGCTGAAGGAGGTGAGAGATACTCTTTCCAAACATGGGTGGCAAAGCTCCAAGACTTATACCTCTAGCAGGGGCAAGAAGTCTTTTGCTGGAACACGTTTCCTTAAGCATACGCAGAGTCTTGGTTGTCTTGGGATTTTCTGAAGCTACCCAACCTTGATGAATGTATTATTTCTAAATAAGTGATGATTAATGGGCCTTTAAAATCAAATGGATAAATTTACTATCATTCAAAGAACCATGGATTTTCCCACAGCAAGTTCTCTAGTGGATGACTTTCTTGGAACCCGGTTTCGAATCTATACTTCTAAGTTTTTTCTCCACACCCGATGCGGCCTCCAGCCGGCTTCTGCTCAGGACATACCCGCCACGCTTTGCGTTGCGCATCGCAAAGTACTTCACACGCCTCTGCAGGACCAGGGAGGCGTTGCCAAGTGATCCGGAGGGAGGCTCACTTCTGACTAGTAGAGAGATTTCCTCCTACTGGACTGGGAGTCAAACACATGGGATGATGCTGAATTAGCTTCAGCCCTTTTGTATCTACGTGGCTCAAAGAGCCTGAACTTAGGTGATTGGCGTTCTTTATTCCCAACTTCTATCCCCATTCCCATTTCAGGGTGACAACTCCCAGAATACTAGAGAACTATTATGTTGGTTGTTCAATCATGGAATCATATCCCTACCACTTCTAATGACACTTGATGTTAATGGGGACAGGGTTGGGTCTAATTCAGCATGTGGTCATGGTGGAGTTGCTTTTGATCAAAGCAGCGCACAGGCCTTGAGGCCCTCAAATTAGCTAGCTGTACGGAACAACACTGCAGAGTAGCCACCAAATTGTGGAAACACTGCGTGGGCACAATTTACTGAATTCGCCATGGGGGGGGCTGCCCTTATTGTGGTTTTACTGTAATGGATTTCTGTATATTTCTGTATTTGTTCAATTTCAAGGTTGTTTTTTTTGAGTCTGTTACCTGTTTCATAGCCTTTTTGAAGGATTTTTACAGGATATATGGCCATACCCCAGATTACGTAGAAATTACGTAGAAACTACGTAGACAACCCGTAAAAAAAAACGTACCCGTAAAAGGCACGTAATTTTGCGTAAAAGTAACGTAATTTTGCGTAGGGAATTACGTAATTTTCTCGAAATCTGATGATATCCCAAACTTAGGGTTTTTTATTGTTTTTTATGGTGTTTTATTGGAAAATATGGTGCCCATGATGATTTGTAAGGCGGGTATGCAACATCATAGCCAGGTTCAATACCAAATCCATTTTTCTTGGTGAAACCGATGTGCCTAAATGAAATTCCAATCCATGGAAGGACCTCATGAAAAAATATGAAAAAATGTTGAGGTGTTACATGGTGTTAACACCCCAATCCACTCCACCACCGCAGGATTTTCAGCCTTGCAGGTTTCACCTTTTTGCCATCACCTGGTGGTGGCAACTTGCCATGGCAGGTGTCAAGCGTGAAAGGACCAAGATGCGCTCCAGGCAATGGAGTTGTTCTGAGCTAGTGGATGGGCATGCTGGCTTAGTTGCATCAAAAAAGGAAAAGGAAAGTGACGATGAGTTACAGAAAGAAATACAGGACCCATTGCATTGTTGCAACAACAGCTCAACCTTTTTGAAGCCCAACAGGTAAAAACAATCTTAAAAGTGTTGGCGCCAGTTGTGGTCAGGACTATGAGAAACAACTGGCAGACTTGAAGAAGCAACAGGCCTCTCTGCTTATGATAAATTACATCTATCTGGGGCATTTCTCCGTTTTTACATGGCTGAGGCAACTGTAGTGATTATATATTAATATATCTTTTCGAACTTTGGTCAAAGAACCCCAGCCTAGGCTGAAGCAGACACTCAACCAGTGACTTGGTAGCAACAAATAATTCCATCAAATCAATGCAAATCCCTTGGTATTTATACGATTGAAGAGAATCTTGTTGTGGTATGTAGTGGTCCTTAGGCCACTGAAGAGGAGCTTGAAGCTAACAAGGTCAGAGGGAACAAACCAAAGTCCAAAGAGGCCAAGTCAGGCAAAGGTAGACCAGTTGCGACCCCTGCCCGTGCTGCAAGCCCTGTGCGCCCTCGGCATGAGACTCGGGAGCCCTCCTCTGGGAACCCAGCAGAGCACAAGCGCTTGAGGGGGAAGACAATGGATCCTGCCAAAGCTCAGCGGATTGCCGAGTTGCGTGAGGCCAGGTTGAGATTGATATTGACATGATTTGAGGGTCCCAACGTTGGGACAATTAGTGATCAATTTTCGTTGATTGATTACATACCAATAACAAGAAAATATGTTAAACATCAATTACAGGTGGTTGTAAGCATGTTGCATCAATTCTTTTTACTCCCCAATCCCTCATATCCATCCCCTACATCACATTAAAACCTTTCAGAACTTTCACCACCTTTGGTTTGCTAAAGGCATCTACGAAGATGCAGGCAGAGCTGGCTGCGTTGGAGTCTTCTGGAAGCAGCAAGGAGGTTTACAAACCATCCAAGGGGGATAGTCAAAAAAAAAATTCAAGTTCTGCCAATCCCGCCAAGCCCGCTCCCCCTTTCGGCACTGAGTTGCCTCAGACCGAAGCAGCAAAGGACGCTCGGTTGAGGCGCCTTTGTGAGCGGAAGCCCAGTGGACGCCTGCAGGTGCCGGAGAGCTTGCATAAGAAGTGGAAAGGTGCAAGCCGGGAGGAGAAAGACCATATGGTGGACATTTTGGACTCAGTTGGCTGGAACAAGGATATACCCCTGCTACTTCTTGGTTCCATTCAGTTACAACTCAATTGTAAAATTCACTTGAAGTATCGCTGCTGCTCCTGAAACATGCATTTGTAGGACCAGTTTGTTACCACCATGCAGCGATCGGTGACCAAAACGAACAAGTTGTCAAAGAAGAAGCGCAGAGGGTGGTATACCGAAGAGGGCATGCTCAAGATTCTCCAGTGGTCAAAGTTTCTTTGACTGCAAACTGTTCAGCCTTGTAATTAAATGGTAGCTTTTCCCAGGGCATGTCACAACTTTTAGGACCTTCGAGAAAAGGGAACCCTTTGGTGATTTGGGATATGAATGTTCATCATCTCTCAACATTTATCCTTTGTGTCCTGTCTGATTTCCAGTACCCTAGTGTCATTGAATCCCAGCAGTGAAATTATTTCATATTATTCCAATCGTTTGATATCAAGTATTGGGGGTTCTCCAATGAAATCCCAATCACCCTGTATCTGTTCGGCAACTGTTTTTGAGGACCTACATCAAGTCGGTGGTTGCCTACTGCAAAAAGCCCGGAAATGAGGCACTGGTGAAGCACCCTGGTTGCAGCATGTGTCTGCACATCAGGCGGTATTTGCTTTCAGCACTTCCCTTAGTTGATGCACCTGTGTTCACTTTGTTTTTGAAAATTCTATATAAGTCAAATGAAATCAAGATATATGAAGATAGAACTGCTAAGCTTTCCAGTCCCAAGTCATCCGACCCTTTCATCATCTTTTATCCAAGGAAAGACCGGTACAATCGAAAGATTGAGAGGTTTCGTGTAGTGATTGAGGAAGGTGAGACGGAAGAATCTGACCTTGAGGAAGTTGAAAGACATGAAGATACCCAGGACTTTTTAATCTCTGCTCCAACTTTCCCATCCAGCCTTCGCGTTCAAATCTTTTTGTTTGGTGCCATACGCCTCGGTCAGGAGGGCCCTGGCCCCGTGAATTTCAAGCTGAAGAAGGGGGATGGCCAGAGCGCTTTGGATAGTTCCAATTCCGGGAGCAGTGATGAGGAACAGGAAGCTGAGCAAACCAATGGGCCCAAGAAGGTACCCTGACCAAAGTATTGAAATTTGCCATTCTTACAGGGACCAGCTAAACCAATTAATCTTTCACCCCCACTTCACTAGCTAACTCAGGAATTTGACCGATTCAAGACTTTTACATCATCCCTTTTGAGCCGCTCTTCGAAGCTATCTGACCTGATATCAGAACTGGAGATCTTGGCTGAGAGTTGTGGAAAGGGGCCTGAAACACCTGAAGGGAAGCGTTCCTCCAGGCCCCCTTTTTGATTACACACGTTCTGTTTAAAACTGTGCGGTGTTAAAGCATCATATATAACAGCTAAATATGGGAGTAGAAGTTGAAAGCTATCAATTCCCAGCTTAAGGTGGCAACCTCAGGTGCTCCCCAGGGTCCCTTGCCTGCTCTTCTGTCAGGATCATCAGTGGCCTGGAGAAGTGCATCGAGATCTTGGAGCAGCAGAGTGAGGCATGCGAGTGTCTGAAGGCAAAGGTATCAAAGCTCCCCAACATGCCTGACAATGAAAAATCCCGTGAGTCCCTAGGTGTGATTTATATTAATTAATGTATATTATTTATAAATGTATTATGCATTTGGTTGACTTAGTCTATCCATGTATCAATGGCTGCATCCTAGGTATATCCAACAGATCGATGGGCAGATTGAGGCAACAACCATGGCGTGCCTTGACCAAGCAGTAGATATCTCCAACGAAGTGTCCTGCACATACATGCTGGGGCTATGTGGTGACACATGACATTCCTACATAGTAAAAGGGGTCGCTAAATTGTCCCCTGTTTAAGGTGCAGCAAGATCACTTCCAGCGAGAACGCCGCAAAGAATCTTGTTTCAAACAAAGAGAGATCTAGGGTTTCGGTTTTTGGTGCAAAATATATTGAGATTTATCTAGAAATATTAATATAATGATACCATTCGTTCACTAATATTCATTGGGTCCCCTGTGATTATCTTCTCCATCAGTTGCTGCAGCTACCATGCTTCAATGCCCTTTACAGTTTACCTACTTATAGACTATAGACACCAACATGTGGGAATGCCTCTTGTATTCTTCAATGGTCTCTACTTTTCACATGGACATACATGGACTAGCACATGGGGATGACCCTTGCATTGAATGCAAGGACATTGATCAAGAACCTCAAGAAGATTCAGGAGGAGCAATGGTGACCTGTAGTGGGTATACAACCCATTTTTGGGTAGGATTTTGGATGATGATTACAACATGGGCCGTGAATATGCCACTTAGGAACTTCCTGATTGGAACCAGTCGGGGGGGATGTGCGCTGTTCAAGAAACTTGGGTCATGCGCATCAGCTACGGAACATGTGCTGAATCGCACGTGGATGGCTGACGCTGGGGTGAAAATGAAGAAAAAAATGCGGCCAAAGGCAAACACTTTTGGGCATCCAAAAACCAGTCACCTTTGCAAGTGCTTCTTCATTTCTGATCAAATATAACCCCCACTTTGTACTTGACCTCTATACCCTTGACAGCTTTTTCAACCATGCACCCTGCCGCATGCCAGATAACCCCAATGACATGCTGGCGCAGATGGCCCGCCTCATTGGCAATGGCGTTGGGATCCCAAGTTAGCCCAGACTCCTGGTGGAAAGGGCCTATGGAAGAGATTGTTGTGTATGGCATCATTAACCGTGGTCAAGAAGCATTTGGCTTCCAGCTATTTACACAAGAACAACATAGAACAACAACCAAAGTTGAAAGCGATATATCTGTCTTCAAACTATGTCGAGAAGTTGTTTTGGTAGTTAAAATTTAAAATAATAATAATAATATGTATTCGTTATTTATATACAATATTGGTATGTATTGGTCGTGTTCTTGAGCCATGGACGATGACCTGCTTGATCTTTTGACCTATGACTGCCCATTGACGGGGAAGAAACGGACAGCTGGTTTATCTGACCTGATGTTGGAGACAGCCCAGTCTGAAAAGTTCCAAAGCTGCACTCACACAAAAACATATTGAAGGTATTCCTTTGGAGGGTTATGTTCTGAAACAATCTCAGGAAACGAAACGTCCTGCAATCTTTGCCCTCGACGACTCCAAATTCTCAGCATCATGTTGATGTCGTTTTTGAAGACTTTGACTATGGCTTTCCCCGGGGGGACACCACTGAAGCAGCCCCTGAGCAACGCGGTCCTGGAACCACAACACCAGAAGTAGAAACTTGTCTTCCCATGTCATGGCTCCACACTGCACACAGTGGCCATTGAGAAGTATAGTTGGCTTGGTACTTGTGATTCCTAGTTTTATGATATCCCAAAACTATGAAGGTTCATATGTTCTTCGATCTTTTGGGGCCTAAGGAATGTCTATCGCAAATTCGGAAACTCAAACATCTTGGTGACAACTTCGAGGCTTCGACGTTTGATTGGACCTATGCAAAGTCGTTAGGAATTGTCAACCGTTGTCTGAAAGGGCAACTGAACAACCGGAAAATGTGCTGTGGCAAAATTTTAGAGCATGCCAAGGATCAAGTGTCCTCCTTTCGTGAACGCATTGGAGTTAGACTATGTTGTTTCAAGATTGGGGTGACTTCAAATCCCCTTGTTCGTTTTCCCATGTATCTAGAAAAAGGCTATTCAGAAATGTGGCTTATCAGTGTTTCACCAAGCATTGATATGACTCAAATGCTTGAAGCGGCGCTCGTTTCGGAGTTTGGGAAACATGTTGGATGCCACAACAAATGTGGCAGTGGGGGGGAGGGGTCGTTCAACAGAGACACCCCACCGCCTCCACCTTATTTTGTGTATGTCACTGGGGGCCGTGCTGATCAAAGCCGCAGGGTGGGCTAGATTCAGCCAACTTTACGCTGCCAAGGGTAAAAAAAGAGTCTTGAGTGCTCTACTTGATGGTAGTTATATAAAACTATTACTTATATATACTATATTGTAAGCGCCAGCTTTTTAATCAAGGTTCCCTTCCAAACATTTTAGTTTCATCATCTCTTGTCTCTATACCCCTCACCTATGCCAATGTTTGCATTCACCTTTCCCGTTCTAAGCTGTTGCCCAAGATTGCCTATGCTGTTCGCCGAGGCCCCAGCCAAGCACATTGTGGAGTTGGCACGTGCTGAAGTCAGAGAAAACCCTAGAGTGTCCCGTCCCATGCGGGAATTTGCACGAGTACGTCTTGAAGATGCTGAGGTAGGAGTACATGATGTTCTTAGACGTCATGGGCACTCTTGTCCTATTGAAGTACATACTGTTGACTTGGGCGACAAAGAGTTGAAGGAGTTTCCATTTATTCGATTCAGTGTTCGGCTTCAATACCTGGGTCTTACAAGGATTATGAGACAGCTATGTGGAGTTAGCTCTCTTGGAAAGCTGAAATCAGTCCTTGGTGAGTTTTGGAGGCGATTTCGAGCCATCAACCCGAACCATGATATTTTTGAAATGTCTGATGCAGGAACCATTGACCTCAAATTTACAATACCATACTACAGTCATTCTGATGATGGAAGGAGTTACAAAAAAGAAGCTTTGTGGATTTTCAGTGTTCATGGGGCTATTGGGCGCGGCACGCGCAACTACCTGAAGAAAGGGAAACAAAAAACTCCGCTTCACAGAAACCAGATGGGGATGAACTTTGTGGGGCCAACTTTGGGGAGTCAATTCCTGTTTGCGACGATGCTCAGAGAGGTTGCAAGCAAAAACCCTGGGAGCATAGAGAAGCTACTAGAGATATTCGCTGAAGATGCAGCTGCACTGGCCAGGGATGGTTTGACCATTGAAGGTGTCAAGTTGTGGTTTTTACACATTGGCAACAAAGGCGATCTGCCTGCTTTGGCAAAAGTGGCATCGTTGAAAAGGAAATTTTACAATTGCCCACGAGCCCCAAGGTCAAAAAAAGCATGCGTTGGGGTGTGTCACCAATGTTTGGCGGGACAGGAAGCTGACCCTAGCAAGGGAATGGTAGCCTACCCCTTCGAAGACCTCTCAACAAGACCAGCTTGGGAAACAACAATTGACCAGGTGGAACCTTGGGATGAAACCCCATCAATTTTAAGAGGCTTGCCGATTGACGGAAGTGCCAAGAGTCAATTCTTTTGCTTTGACATCTGGCATATATTCCATTTGGGGATTGCCAAGCATTTCTTGGCAAGTTCATTTGTGGCCATTGTGGAGTCAGCCCTGCATGTTCTTCAGCCCTTCAGGTCTATAGAGGCCAAATTTCAGTTTCTTTCTCAGGAGTATGGAGCGTTTTGCCGATCCCAGAAGATATCCATGTGGGTGTCAGAGATTTCAAGGGACACATTGCAATGGCCTCAGGGAAGTGCATGTCCCATTGGAAAGTGGAACAAGGGGTCAGCATCTACAACCATAATGTTGTTCCTTGGTCACTTCTGCCAAAAGTATATCGATGAGTCTACGGAGGATGATGAGATGTTGCTTTTGATTGTTTCTTGTCTAGACAAGTTGAGGAAGAATGTTGATGTATTTGTTTTGTTCCATGGGTTGGTTTTGTATGATGTGTGTTTGGGTAAACTTTTGGGATCCTTTGTGGGGACCAGCAATGTTTGAAATTGGATTTGTTTTTCTGTGATCCCAGGCTGGCGCAACAAAACATATCAACCAAATGTTTGCATTCTGCTACTCATCTGGGTATTGGGTTCGCAGTTCAAAAGCAGCCCGTGTACATGGAGCTCTCTTCTACTTCCTGGGCTCTTACCAGCGCTTGGCATTTCTCACATGGCAGGCAAGAAAGAACCGTTACCAAATGATTCCGAAATTGCACTATCTTTCGCATTTTGCTGTTCAGATTAGAGAGCAGTGTTCCAAGTCTGAATGGATAATCAATCCACTCAGCACATCTGTTCAAACTCAAGAAGATTACGTTGGCAGACCCTCACGGGTTTCTAGGAGAGTTGACATACGTCGCCTACATCGAAATGTGATTTACCGTTGTTTAATTCTAGCCAACATGGCTTTGACTACAGCTGATTTGGACCCAAGAGGAATGGACGCATATGACCGTTAGAACATGTTGTTATACTACAGTTGGTTCATCATGGAATTTAAACAACTCATGTATGTGTTCTGTTAAAAGTTTGTTGTTTTGTGGTGGACGGTCAAGTGCATAAGCATGCCTCTTGGTGTGAAGCTTGGTGGGTCTGGGAGAAAAAAATGGTGTAGAAGAGACAGACAGGGGTCAAACAATGGGGTTCCCTACTGTTTTGTGATTTACTTGAAAACCACCAAAATCAAAAAAACATGGTTTTTTACAAAGGTACCGTATTTTGGGAACCTTGTAAATTAGGCTGGCGTAATCCATGTCTATCCACCAAAAAGGGGAACAAACCGGATCTAGGTATATATATATATATATGTATACGTATATCACAAGGTGCGGTTGTGAGTTGCTGTATTTGAACCGAAGGTCTTCAGCTCGATCAACTCCGCGCGAATCCAAAGGTAACGCAAACATCACAAGCATCTTTAACCATTGCTAATTTTCAATTCCTGGGATACCTGCAACCAATACTATGTCTGTATATATATATATATATAAATAAATAAAT